GTCTCTCGATCTTCAACAGAGTCCGAGTATAAGGCCATTGCAGATACTGTTGCTGAGTTGATTTGGCTGAAGTCTCTTCTTCAAGAACTTGGATTAAATAGCAAGGCTCCTACTCTTTGGTGTGATAATCTTGGCGCAACATATCTCACAGCTAATCCTGTCTTTCATGCCCGTACCAAACATGTTGAAGTAGACTATAACTTTGTTCGTGAACAAGTTACTCAAGGGAAACTAATTGTCAAGTTCATCTCTATAGACAACCAAATTGCTTATATTTTTACAAATCCCTTGCCTTCTCAGAAGTTTGAGTTTCTACAGTCCAAGTTGCAGATTGCTAACCGCGCTGAACTTGCGGGGGAATGTTAGGCTAAGTCAACTAGTCTAGTTTATATTATTAATATTGTCTAGGGTCCAAAGTGTAATTAGTTTTACCTATATAAGATGTATCAGATTATTATTATTTTTCAATCAATACAATCAATATCAAGTTTTATAACTTGATTCTTATATACCAGCACGAGAAGTAGATGGAACCCGCCAAGAAGACCCATGATGAAGTCGAGAGACATCTTCATCGCAGAATGCATTAGTTGTCATGATATTATCGACAAGTTCTACCTGACCGCAGGGAGGATGGGTGTTGAGATCTTAGCGAGAACTAGGACAGTCTGAGTAGGTACACTTTGTGTGCCCATAATCCATGAAAAAGGATATTGGATCTTATACCCTTCTCTTCCAATTTTTCTAGCACTAGAAGTTACAAAGGCTGGGATGGGAGTTCCGGATGAGTGTGACTCAGAGTTAATAGAGTACATTTCTTGAGCAAGATGATACACAGATACAAAAGACTGTGAGGCTGAGTAGTAGGGGGTGAGCATTGGAATATTTGGGAAACAATCCCAAAATGAACGTCATCGGTGTCTATTTTAGCTAACCGCATCTCCTGAATTTTGACATCAGGAGATACCAGGAAGAGAACTCGAAGTTCCTCTTATAGCTTAGATAGCCAATTGCCTGGTGTAGTACTCGGTGAGATCTCCGTCATCCTGCTCGCATCTGAAGTAGGGCCTGAACATGGAATATGTACAAGACAAGCATTGCTTGGCCGAGAAGGAAGACTCTTAAGTGCTCCCACCTCTTCTTCATGGTAGGGTAGTTATGGGTGATGCTTAGGACTTGTGGTTCCATTGCATTCCATCAGGCCATTGGGATGCCACTATCATTGAGTTTCCATTTCCGAGTTTTAGGGTTTGGAGGACCTTGAGTCAAATAATCATCATTTTGCTACTTCTGAGGCCTGTTTGGACAAACATACAGAGTCCTATTTGATGAGTTTAGTTTAGCTTGAATCTTCGAGATAGCGGAACTATTTTGGTACTGTAAAATTGACTGACAATGATTGTTAAACTGGAACTTTGTCTCCCATGATGATTTGATTCTTTTTCGCTACTAGGTTTGTTGGAAATGGAGATGGCTAGTGGCTCTAGGGGCGGAAGACCGATTGAAGGAATGGTGGTAGGGGGTAAAGGCTCCAACAAATCCATGAGCTGCATGTTGACAAATGTGCCCCCACCAAATAAAGAAAAGGGCCCCCAACACCCTTTGCTTCCTCGGTTGACTATTGTTTTTTACCTAAATTTTGTTTGATTTTAGTTAATTATTATTTTATTTTTATATTATGCCCCCAACGATAATTTTTCCAGATCCACCCTAGACTGCTTCCTACTTTTTCCATTTATTCTCTTACTGGAAGCACAACCTGTTTAGTGGAAGATGTTAAGGGAGTGTTAATGATGCTAAGGATTGAGACTGATATACCAAAACTGTTGAAATGGAGGCAATTGGTACTGGGACTGGGGAGGCAGCTTCTAGCCTTTGCTGGCGATAGCGATGTTGACGACGCAAAGCAATGGTACCCTGGAATTAGATCTCGTTTACCCAGGCGGCAGCAGGAGAATGTTGGTGACAGGCCAACAGCGGCAGCCGGAGTTTTGACTGGCGGTGGTTGGGTTTCAAGGGGGCGGTGCTGCTGAGGTTTCCACGGCATGCATTGGTTTTGGCGATGGTTTCAGCTCTGATACCATATAAACCTATTCGTCAGGTAATGTTTATTTTATATTTCTTTAAGGGATGATCACATGAATATATACACAACTTTGGAACCTATTTAATATACTACTACAAACAAGAAGGAAAACCCTGACATACTATATCTAACAGCATGATTTATAAGTACTGAATATCCTTGTATTGATTAATGTGAGTAAAGTTTGTGTTATTCCCTGGAAGTCGCTAAGTCGGTATATGCCACCCTCATGAGCGCCCCCACCGTGGTCCCACTACCATCATGAGGGAGCACTGCGAGTCAGCAGGTGCTGCTGCCTGGGTTTGAACCTGGGACCTCTTTCCGGATGCCCACCATCCAGGCAACACGTGCCAACCAAATCAATATAGGAGGCCGTGGTATGGAGAGTACAAGTGGCTAATGCATGAGTAGTAGTAAGTAGGTGAAGCAAGGGTTGTAAGTCGGTTGTGCCATTATATAAAAAGGGAGTGTTAGTTATCAAGGGATAGGAGGCAATCTGTTTTGTGAATTTCATTTGGATGAGAGCCTTGGGAGAGGGTCCAGCTACTCCAAAGCTGGATGACCCAATAAGCATTCAATTTTCATTCAATAAACTCTTACTACATACCAGGAGTATATCAGTTTGCACCACACCATCTTATCCTTTCTGTGCACAAGGTGAAATTTTGTGTCTCCATCTTTTAACATGCAAGTGGGAATTAGCTCAAGTGGCATAACAAAAGCATATATTTAGTTGGCCTCTTTCTACGGCCTTGAGTTTTCTATGGGTCGTTTACTTGACACTCTTATTCTGGAAACTGGAGGTAATTTTTTGTTACAGCAGCATCTCTGGCTCTGGGAACATTTTCATTTTCTTTCCTTTGATTTTAGTATTGCTATCATGATTCTTTTTTCACACAATGACATCTCAGCAGCTGCATTTTTGGCATTTAGGTTTTTGACAGGCGAAAAAAGAGGCTTGTGGAGGAGATAATTGATGGAAAGATTGTTTTATCAATGAGAGCCATTTATCAATCTAAAGTAGGGCTTGGCATTATGGACAAAGGTAAATTAGTTTGTTAATAGTTTATATTTTTTGTAACGTCAGTTGGTGTAACTGGAAAACCTTTCTGTTTGTGTTTGGTGAATGCGCTCTCTCTCTCTCTCTCCCTCTCACACATAGAGAAGCAAGCCCTCACACATCCACATCTAGTCATTGTATTTTAATAACAGTCGTCTGTACAGATACAAACATTCGACACTGGCTTAAAAAGATCAAGTTCCCAGTCTCTTTAATGTACCTGACACTCTCCTGGTTTTGGTGATCCTATGTGGTGCAGGGGCAAAAGAGATATTGCAGAGCTTATCAGAAAAGCAGGGAAAGAAAATGAATTCAGTTGAATCTGCTAAAGACATACCAGCATTTCTTCAATTCTTTAAGGCAAGATAAATTTTAGTTTTATTAATAATATTATTCCATTAGCCTTTTTCTTTTATTTAGATGCATTGACGAGAAAGCTGATCTCTTCCAAGGTTATTTACGAGCGTTTTCATATGTTTGAGGTACATCTTAACCAAGTCACTGACTAGGACATACCTTAGCTCCTGGAGTTACGCTTTCCTTTCCTTCAGTCATAGCATACCTGCCTCTCATCTAGGAGTTCTCTTAAGAATTTATTATCCTAGTATATAAAATGTAAAATTGTTCTTCTTTTATGTTTTATTATGGGTGCATTCAACTCATGCTTCAATCCGAAACTGCTTTCTATGGTAGATGGTTGTCCATTATATCACAACTATATGTGTACTGTTCAAGAGCAAATTTTACCCTCTCAGTAATAATGTAAAAGTGATAATAGGAATTCTTAGTGTAAAGAGCCCTGAGTTTTTTTTTTTTGTTTCTTTTCTTTTGAATGGCATGAGTGTATATTTACTTCCGTTTGTACTTGTACATGTAAAAACGGATAAAAAGATTATTTTGTGTTTCCAATAGAAAGTAAATATTATTACAAAAACTGGTGTAGCCACCACATTCATTGACATTAAATTTCTACCTTGAAGTGTAGTGGCTTATTTAAGCATCTAAGGTCTGATTTTGTGGCAACTTCGCATTCATTATCTTCAATTTTGCCAGCTTAATCTTTTGGTTATTGAGCTATACCTTTCACCCACCATGGATTTTTTTTTTGACTCTCCCACTCGGTACAATGTAGTTTGATTATGTTTCCCTTTTACTTTAAGGGAAAGAAATGTTTCTGTCTGCAATGCTATGAGTCTGTTCTGATGATATTGCTGTTATATGTTGTTTGGCAAAGCATTTACAAGGTAGATGTGCCTAGACCATTATTCAGCCATCTAAATATTTTTGTTTTGCCTAAGTTTATTTTCATGAAGTCATTCATGGTTGTTACTTCAAGTATATATGCTTAAGAAGTTGCGAACTTCTATTTTAGGTGATTAGAAACTTCATCTTCATTTAGAACTCTATTTTTTATTGCAAACATTCTTGTTGATTTACGCCTCATATGCATAAAGCCTCTAGTATGAACAGTGGGGGGTGCAGCTGCTCCCCCTCAAATCTGTAAAAAAGTTCCATATGGTAGAAGAACTAGAGGAAAATGAGATATATAGGCGGCGGAGAAAAGAAGGAATACAGAGATGCACATGGTGGGGAAGTGGGAAGTGGGAACCTGGTAAAAATGGTAAAGGGATATGTATGAATCATATCTTCACTTATAGCCCTTGTGTATTTATGAACTTTTCAAAAATCACTCAATTTTTCTTAAAAATGAATATTACAATTTAAACCAATTTATATAGTCAAATGTTATTGGATCTACAATTTAGAAATTGAGATAATTATTCTAATTTAATGTACAAATACTTATGAGATTAAAAAATATATATCAACTTAAACTTATTTAACTATGCTTTTAAGTAGCCTTTATTATCTTGATCAACACCATTAATCTCAATCTCCATTTCATTAATGGTCAAGTTAAATGCCAATATTTATAAAGTTTGTACCAGTTTCTGGGTTTTGTACCCAATTTATGTGACAAGATCGTGTCAAAATAACGAAAAACCATACGTATATTACATTAAACTATGCAAAAACGACTTGATAGTTGTTCTAATAATTGCAATAAATAGTTTTCAAAAGATGAGAACTAATGTTGAGTATGGTATGCTTTTATTTCTAATAAAGTTTGTACCTCTTTTATTTTTTGTAATGTGTTAATTAAATCAGCTTCTGTAGGGTTACCCATTTGTTACTGCTCCAGTACTGCCAATTTGTTAGTTGTTTTAACTGATTTTATTTTAGGACTATCCATTTGTTAAGTGTTGATTTTAGTTCGATCTGTACATTAAACAACCATGGGTAAGTATTTAATAAAAAGATGAACACCGGTTGTTTGTCATCTATTTTATTTATTTATAACTGATGCTCCCCCTCAAACCAAATCCTGGCTCCGCCCCTGAGTATGAATACATAAGCATTGCATAAATGAGGTGAAAACTATTTGTAGGCTGTGGAAGATAGTTATTTCCTTCTTCTGTTTTTCTTCCTTTACTTCTGTACTTCTGTCGTAAATCCAATAAACTAATCCATTTGCTCATTTATATATTATTCGGAAGCTGCTTATCTTATTCCTTGGTATTTACACGCCATCTTATAAATGTTGCACTTTGTGCCTTATCATTGACCATTTGCATCCATTACTTATTCTTTCAATCCTCTCTAAATGTGAGAAAGAGCCTAATCCCCTTCTAATCCAATTTATTTATATTTAGCCCATCGCATTGTAAAACAGCTAGTGCTTATAGTCCCGTTAGTCTGGTATACTTGTAACTTGGTGTCACATTATTGTTATCTTCCCTTCACATTGAAATCAGGTTTATAATTTATTATGTCTTGATTCTGATTCAACCGACTTCTTGTATTCTAGGACCAAATCAATTTGGCTGAAGTCAAGTACCCCATGGATCATTTCAAGGCAAGTAACCCACCAGTTTATTCATAGAATATTGATGAATATGTTATAGTCCCTAATTCTTTTGCTTAGTTCTTACTACCAACTTCAAATATAATTGTGAAATCAGATTTACATCCTATAAATATATTTTAGTGAAACAATTCAATGGCAGCCATCTCGGTTGTTAAGGACTTGGTTTTCACCAATGTGCTGGACTTATGGTCATCAATCTGACAAATTCAGTCTGGATTTTCTTTATGCAGACATTTAATGAATTTTTTATTAGAGAGCTGAAACCTGGAGCACGACCAATTGCCTGTGTGGGACGTGATGATGTTGCTGTCTGTGCTGCTGATTCCCGTTTAATGGCATTTTCAACAGCTGAAGAAAGTTGCAGATTCTGGATCAAGGTATCTTTAGCTACTTGTCTGCACAATATGTAACATGGAAAAGTACATATTTCTTGAGTTGTTTTGTTGAAATTCATTCTTGAACAACATCAAAGAACATTATGATGGTCAATGTCTGCATGATGGTTAAAGTAATATTGTTATCGTAAAAGAAAGTAGGATATATTTTGCCATGGCTGAGTGTCCTTTTTCCTTTCCTTATAACTTGTAGGGTAGAAAGTTTTCTATCCAAGGTCTTCTGGGTAATATTCCATGCTCAAATGCTTTCATTGATGGAACCCTGGTGATATTTCGCTTGGCACCACAGGTATATATGGTTACTGATTTTGTCTAGTATTCATTACAAAAATAGTTCAATTTTCTGTATCTCTTTGCCTTTCTGACTAGGTACCTAAGACTTCTTTTTAACTAGAAACTAAAGCTGTACAAAATATGGCAGGATTACCATCGTTTTCATTTTCCAGTTTCTGGAACTATTGAGCAGATTGTTGACATACCTGGATGCTTATATACGGTATGTACAGGGTCAGATGGTACTACATGGATAATTTTTGCTTGTCCTTACTGATGCACTCACTTTTTTTTTGTACGTATTCATGAAAGTTGCTGTGTTAATTCATTCCTAGGTTAATCCCATTGCTGTGAATAGCAAGTATTGCAATGTGTTCACAGAAAACAAGCGGGCTGTATCTATTATATCAACTGCAGATTTTGGCAAGGTTCGTCATATTCACTCATTATTGACAAGTGTATATTTAAGCTTTAAGTTCTAACAACAGAATAAGTAAGCAAGTATCCTCCATGTTTATACAAAATCGACGGTGCTGATAGTTTTGTTACTTAACTGGCCATTTTACTTGCTTTCTGTCGAGTAGTTTCACCTCACATTGGTGGATGTAATATTTAAGATCCATACATATGACCTTTTTTCTTGAACTCCCCATGTTTGGCGAAAGTTACAAACCTTTTACATGGCCAGGGAAGTGTTTAAGTACTTGTCAAATGTTAAAATATCCTTCAGTAATGACAAACTAAGGCAGCCTTGTAGAGCCAACTTGATATTATGAAAATTGTGTACTGATGACAATGGTGAAAAACGTAATTGTAGATCAAAAGGTTTCTTAAAATGGAAGTGTTGCAATTTTCATGAAATAATGCAATCATGGAGATTGTTGGAATATATATGGGACTGGAGGAGTACCGTACAGAAATTTCACCTATGTTAACCAATTTGATCATGCTCAACTTGAGTTCAGGTAGCATTTGTGGCAATTGGAGCAACAATGGTTGGCAGCATCACATTAACTATAAAGAAGGGAGACTATGTGCAGAAAGGAGACGAGGTTCAAACATATCACTAATCGATTAATGCTATAGCTTACATTTCACATTTCTTTTCAACATTTGATTTATTCTTTGCTTTCTACCATTTATTACAGTTTGGTTATTTCTCTTTTGGTGGCAGTACAGTCGTTTGTGTCTTTGAAAAGGTTAGTATCTAAGTGTTTATTAACTTTTTCTGCATAGGGGCTGGGGAGATAAGAAAACTAAAAGACAGTCCATATATTTGTTTCTGCAAATTGATTCTATGTTCTCAAGCTATGTGGATTTGTGACTTGTACATAGGTCTGTCAATGAGTCAAATTGGGGTCAGATCTACTGAAGATTTGAATTGACCCATTATTTAATTAAGTGAATCATGATCAGATCCATTAGCTAATGGATTGTTACTCGATTAGTAATCCAACTCATCTACGTGGATGGATCATGACCTAGATTGACCCATTTATTTAACATTTACTTTCATAAGATGAGAAAATACGAAATTTAATACACAACTGTACATATACAACCACTTGTACAATCCAAACTTTAAAGCATAGTATGCAAACTTCTATCTAACGTAACACAAGTTGTACAAATACAAATACATCTTCACTTGTGTGGTACAAGTCCATAATGCATATATTATTTGAACTTCTATTAAATAGCATGACCTTTACAAAACAACTTGTGCCATACAATCTGCTTTGGTACAAGTTATAGCATAGTATACAAACTTTTTATCATATAACATAGTTTATAACACACTTGTACCATACAAATACTACTTCATCCCTACCTAGGAGAGTAGTTATTGATGTTAGATTAATGTGATCACAGGAGAGTAGTTTTGAGAGAAGAGAGCAGTACACCAAATTCATTTGTTCTAACTTGTTTTATTTCATGGTGACCAGCTTCATCAGTCCATAAGAAAAGTTTGACAGGCTTGTCCTTTTTTTCTTGTTAATTTTTAACATTTTAAATGGATTCAATAACATTGATCATGGATTGATCCAATCATCGATCCGACTACATGGCTGATCTACTGAATCAATGATCACCTTTTTAATTTGTTGGTTCATATAAATGGCTCTGGTCAAATCAGATCTACATCATAACCTGACCCATTGATAGCCCTATCTGGATAGGCTGAATATTTTCCCGAGTCTAGAGGTCATTTCAGTACCCTTTTATGCACTGTCATCATTACATATTGTCAATTATTTTGCAGGACTCAATAGCACTAGACGAGGACCTTCTGGCTAATAGCACAAGATCACTCGAGACCCTAGTTTCTCTTGGAATGCAATTAGGGGTCTCCTCAAAGAAACGTGCTGACCTTTCTTTGCCAGATATCAACAATTGTGTCTTAGGGGATTGAAAATGTGAAATCTTAGTGCAAATGACCATGTAGGTATCTTTAACAATCTTGAACTTGATATATCACTACATATTTGATTAATAGGTAGCATGTTACCTATCCCCGCGTTCTAGTTCAATTCCATAATTGGATCCTATCCCATGCGGTATTGATCCATTTTCCTCAAGAGCAGAGTCCTTATGATATGGGGTTGTAGCTCCTGTGAGAGACATGGACTATATTTCATTAGATGGGATCCACCTCTCTTTAGTTGTGTGCATAATAAAAATCTACAACTCTTGATATCCCAAATGGACTGTTACTCTTCAACGTTCGTTTGTAGTTAATGTAATTTACAAAGTTCGGTCAAGCATCCCAGTTAGTGCCATCTTATTGTTTGTTTTATTAACCTTCTTATGTAAAATGCTTAAAAGAAAAGATGTCTCACATAATTGTGTATGTCTAGATTCAGAATAATCTTTCTATTATCAGCCCTGCCTTGCATCCAACCTAGTTCAAAATCTAGGCTCATAAAAACATACAAAGAACAGAATAAAACAGTCCCAAATCTAGTCTAGGTTAAATAATAAAATCTAAGATAAAGCTATCAAATTATTTATACACACACCTCTAGAGCTTCTCCGGTTTAAATTTAGGTTTGAGAGGCTTGGAATCCGCTGTTACCCCAGTAGCTAAATTGCTAAAAAAATTTGTGCCCCATTTTTCACTTAGGAAATGTGTAACCTCTAACGTGATATGGATGTTGGTTTGTTTGTATCTTAGCTAAACCTACTTGTCCTCGCAATGCATCTCTCTGATGTTGCTGCCACATCATCTGTTCTTCCACTAATAGTCTCTGCTTCTTCTCCATCTCCGCCATCTGCACATATGGCGGCGGTGCCAGTGGAAGTGAGGCTGAGAAGGGGTCACCTCTGCCATTGGCTGAAGTTGGTGCTGGTGCCGGCCTTCCAGCGGACCCGAATGCAACACTACTGGCACTTCCTGTGGCCATCATGCCTGTATTAGCCATGGCGGTTTGCATTGCCGCTTGTTGGTACATCCCATCTAGAAGCAGTGTATTGAAACCACCAGGAAGGGATGGCTGCTGGTTTGACAAATGACTCGGGGTTTCAACTAGAGCCGTTTCCCAATCCTCTGATCCTTTATAGGCTTTCCATACTTGGATTCCAGTTTCCACCGGAGCTGTAGTTGCTGGACTACCATCAAATAACGCCAATGCCAGTTTATCGGCGTGATCTTCCACATTTGGAGCATCGTCTCCCAAGTTCAACAGAGCACCCACATCCTGAGTCTTTTCCAGTTCTTCCTTGTCCTCTTTCTGCTTTTCTTCAGATCCTTCTGGTCCTGGTAATGCTTTAATTGCATTCATGTCTGGTTCCGGCTCGGGCTCGGGCTCTGGCTTTGGCTTGTCCGGTTCTTCTTCTTCCTCTGCTTCTGGTCCTTCAATCCTAAACTGCCCCATTACTGATTTCTCTCTGATAAACTCATCCATGATCTTTAATTTCTTTTGTGAAATCTTTTCCACATCTGGATACTCGGAAGTCCTTGCAAGGCCGACGGATTTGCACCAATCATAAAAGTAGTCAAGCTCTTCATACTGCTTTCCTACCCGGCGCAAAATCTCGTAAACCTTGATGGACTCGGGAATTTCGAGCTCTGTAAACTGATCTATCAAGATCCTTAGGATCTCTGTTATGTCATAATAAAGATGGAAGCTTTGTTTTACAAGTGGGTACAAAGCCACCATCACAATCCTGGCACTCTTTGCTGGACCTGATTCAACATTTGCAGAGAAAACAGAGGTACCTTTAAATTTTCTGGGATGGCCATCAAGACTTGGATGTGAAACACATCAGTTTTCGTGAGACCGTAAGACACACTGTGTCTCCTTGGATGAGTTTTATTTTTTTATTTTATTTCGTCAAAGCTTCACAGCAAGACACACCGAACCTTCACAGGACCAAACCTTCACATGAAAAAAAGGAACCTTCACATGAAAAAAAAACGAATATTTACAGCAAAAACACTCTTAAACATTCACGGGAAGCACACACAAAACCTTCACGGTGTGTATCATGGTCTCACGAAAAGTGGCTGGTCTCACAAGAACCCAACCCTGGGCATGAATATGGAGAAGTTAGGATGTTGAATTAAGAACCTGATGGACGGCAAGCAAGAAAGCGCTCGAGGAGTCGCATTAAATGCTGAAGCCGAGAAAACAGGTGCTGGTTGTAATCTTTATGGATTGGAGATTCTACAACCGCAGCTCCCTCTTCCGGTTGCTCTTCCTCATCTTCCTCATGAGAATAGGAACTATGCTTTCCTCGCCTCCTCTGCATCCGATACTCGAGTTGCTCATCAAGATAGAAAGCATACATCCGAACAAAAGCCGAAAAATCCCATGTGTTAGACCTGGACATATCTCGAAAATCCGACATGTTCAATAGCCGGGTCCCACGTCTCGTGGCAAAGAAAATCTCCTGCTCGTATGCAGGATCGCCGTCTTCAAGAAGCCGCTGAATCAAGATGAGTGCCTTTAAGGCCACAACCCAATTCCGGGTCTTGTTGAGCCGTCTTGAGATGGTGGTGACACATGTAGCCACGTAGGCTTGCGAGCAGCTCGTTAGGTTCAAGATTTCTTGGATATGGCGGTCTTCGGCAGGGTAGTCGTCATGGCGGGTAGCCTTCACGATCGCGACATCAAGATCCGGTAACGATGTGCTGCTGCTAACCCTGGCTAGGCCTATGGTGGTTTGATCCTTGACTCTTCCAATTGCTTTTCTGAATCTACTTGAACCCATTGATTTTATATAAAATTGGGTTTCAAATTGTTTTCTTTTTTGCAGATCCTTACAAATGGAAAGAACCACACCCAATTTCTTTTTTGTTTTATTTGTTTAATATTTCTTTGATTTTTCAGGGTGTGTTCTTGGAATATGTGAGAGAGAATTTGGGTGTTTTTTTGCTACTATTTTGTTTGGCCATCTGTGATTAGATGGCATATATCTCCCTAATTTATAGCATGGTAATGTGGAAGATTTGATGGAAGTTATGAACCACCATGATCTATGTTGTTGCACCTTCTCAACCCTTGTGGTCTGCAAACTATTTTATTAGAGTGAAAGTTTTGTTATGATATCGTGTATCCAAGATTTGCCATTCAGTTTTAGATCAAATTTATAGGGATTTTCTCATGTACTAAAATCTGAAACGGGCGTCTTTTAACCGCTTACGGGGGGACTGGTCCGGTTAACGACCGGTTTAGCAGGTCAAGTGTCAACGACTGGTTGTTGGAGGGGCAATATGAAAGTGGAACAGGTGTTAGAAGTGTGTTCGATTGATTCAATATCGATGAATCTCGAAAAGAGGATTGAGGGTTGGAACAAATGTATAACAAGAATTCTTGGAATTCCTTGGGCATTCACTTATTTACTAAATGTTATTTTTTATAAAGAGGAGTATCGTTTGAGTGAGCAAAATACATAGGTCCAGGGTTCTATCCGGCCCCCATGACTATTCTCATATTGGTGTCGTTAGAGACGAGTTTTATGTGGGGTTGGTTGGACTGAGCTTGCTGGTAATCAACTTTTTTTTCTTCCTAAATAGAAGAAAGATTTACAAGTAATACTCAAAACCCAGATGCCAATATGGAATGAAAGATGATTTCTAGGAGTTTTAAACAATTTTAAATTTAATTTTAATTTACTTACTATTTAATGTTTACCATTTTTAAATAATTTGTAACAAGTATTAGATGATATTTTTTGTATTTGTAATTACATAAATAATATATCATTTGATTGGAATGAACAACATTTTATCTTGACCATATTTATTAATAAATGTTACATAACTAAAATATTACAACTTAATATATAATACACCAAAAAGATTAAAAAAAGAGTTAGGATGTAGGGACCAAATGCTATGTTATTTGATTCATGGTTTAAATTAGGGGTCGTTTGCTTTTGACATCAAGAAGAATCTTCGTTAAAAAAATGGTTAGAATGAAAAAAGCGCTTAAACCAAATCGTTTTGGCGGGTTAATCGGTTTCACGATTCACTCTTGTTGGTTCCAGATGGATCTAAAAGAGTTTAAATGTAACAGTTTGTAGAAGGGGTGGATGAATGCAAACACATAATATTTTTCACTTTTTAAAATTCTTTATTGATAAAGAAGATCAATGCATAATTTACAAACTGTTTGCGGAATAAGATAAGATATAGAACTTATCTAAAATAATATAAGGAACACACAAGATACAGAAAACAAAAAAAAAAAATAGACTTGCTAATAGAAGAAACAATAAATTCGCTAGAGAAAGAGCTTTGTTGATGTTCTTCACTTGAAGTAAATATAACTTTGAAAGGTTAAGAAGTTTGTGCTTGTGAGGGTGTCTCTTCTTGAGTATTTTGAGATCTTGAAGACTTTTTGAGAAGGAGGGATTTTTCAGCTATTTGTACCCATTGCATTAAATGCAAGTTAGACAGTACAAGACATGTGACAAGCTTCTAGAGGTGAGCTTGTTCTTTGTCTTCAAATATACTGGCTTTTGGCCATATATGAACGGTGGTCTTTACAAAGTAGGTAAACACGTTTGGAGACAATAGGGTGACTCCTTACATGTACTTTACTTTGAGAGATACGAGTTTGTCCTTTGTGTGTAGGAGAATAAGACAAAAACTAATCTTTTTTTTTGAAGTATATAATATTTATATACGGCAAAAGCAATAAATAAACTCACACACCCACCTCACCTTGAGTGATGTTTGAATCCTTGACTTCCTAGGAGGACAAATATTACGATACCGTTAGGCCAAATGCTCTTTGGATTGCAAAAACTAATCTTGATCAACAAGATTCATTTGATCGCTGACACTGGAATAACTCTAAGGTTTCTTCAGTGTATGCTGAATCTTGAGTATACTTCACATATTTGTAGACAAGCTTGTTATCGCTGAAACCACATCAGTTCACGAACTGCTTGTCTTTATCTTCAGTTTTATCTTCGATATCACTGAAGATTCTTGTGGTGTGAGTTGTCTTCTTGAAAAATACTTGTCTCTTGAAAATTACAATACTTGTTCAATGATCACTGAACAGACCCAATGATGATCACTGAAACTGAACAAAGAGAACTAAATACTTTTCGCTAGATAAAAGAAAGATCATCAAATCACTGGGAGAGATGATCAACAACTCTAATTTTAGAAAAAGTCAAACTGCCTATATATTATACATATTTTTATATATTATGCACATACACATGATTAAATAATTATATATATATATATATATATTATATATAGAGAGAGAGAGAGGGGGAGAGAATTCAGAATTACAAATTTTAAATCCTTTATTATTTGACTTTTTTCAACTCTCATTGTTTTCTTGTTCTATGTCTTCTCATTCACTTGTTCTTTCAAGTTTTGTTGATCGTCGATTATCTTCTCATTGTTATTATCTGACTTCTCTCAACTCTCATTACTTCTTGTTGAACTATGTATAACATGCGTCATATAAAGATCAAGATAGATTACTTTATCCATAGTGATCATCAATCAAAGGGGCGGGTTGTGTGATTGTTTATTGAATTAGTAACAATATAGATAACTTATTGTTTGAATGCAACGTATCCATGTAGTTCTTTTATACATATTTTTATCTCATGGATCATGGTAATCTCAAAACGCCTAAACGGATTGGACGTGACTGCCATTTGGTGGTCTCGTTTGAACGATCCAATGACTACATGCCAAACCACACGATTTAATAATTTCCCAAACCCCCCCCCTCCCCGGTATGGTTTTGTTTGTAGTTTAGGAGGTTAGATCATGTACACTAGACCGCAAAGACCCTTCATCCAAACCACAAGGGTGGTGCCTGATTGGTTTGAGCTTGACTCCAAAGGTCAAAAGTACAAGGAGGTCCCAGGTTCAAATCCAAGGAGGAATAAAAATCCCCTTGTGGCCACGGAGGTTCAAATGCGATAACTCCGGGCTATCTGCAAAGCGGGTGGTCATCCTGAGATTAGTCGGCTCACATAACGGGTTGGATATTCAGGTTAACAAAAAAAAAACTTCATCCAGATATTATTTCATTAATTGTTCGGATTAGAAGCTTTACTTTTTATCGGGTAAGAATCTTCTATACACTGCTTTGTTTTGAAACCATCCACCATCTTCTTGGCTCAATGCTCTCAAAGGCCATTTTGTGTGTGTGCATAATTAGTTTTCTTTTGAATGGTCAAGGGTTATACAATTTATTTATCATTTTTTTAATTTATTTAAAAAAACCGTCAAAAAAACTTAATCATTACCGACGATTTATCGAGGACCACATTTATTTTTTAATGTCACATATTTTTAGAAAATAATCAGTAAACCGTTGAAAGAACTTATAAATTACCGACGGTTTATCGATGGTCACATTTATTTTTTTATTCTTTAAGTTGTTTTTAGACAACCGTCGGTGTACCATCTAAAAAATTATCAATTACCGACGGTTAATTAACGACCACATTTCATTTCTTCTTCCGGGTGCGTATTGAAAGAGAGAATGAGAGAAGTGACGATCATCAGTTATCTGGAGATTGAAGAAATATTCAACAAGGTAAAAAAAATCTCTAAGTATGTAGAGGTATATTTTTGTGGGTTGTAGCAAAATTATAAGGAGAAAATCTAAGTTGCCGTTTACCAAACGCTTATCCGGATAAGCGCTTATCAAGTCACTTTATTTTATCGGATGAATATGGCAATGACTAAAAATCTTACCCGGTAAGAGCGAAGACAAGAATTGAGAGTCTTACCCGGTAAGTGAGGACGAAGACTCTTACCATGGTTAGCGCTTACCGGGATAAATTGTTGCATACGATGCATTTTAATGAATAAAATCTTACATGGTAAGTAAACGATAGTGTTGAATTTTACCGGTAAGTGCTTAGGTAAACGGCCCCTAAGACAAACTTGATGTAAATTCATTGTTTTGGTTACAACATGCATTTTATGAATAGGGATTTATAGTATGAATTGATGATTATGCTATTGACATGACCATCTTTAAACAACTTAAAACAGGGTTGGGTTCACATAAGACAAGTCTGTTTTCATGAGACACGATTTTTACATTTGAAACTTCACAACAAAATATTGTGAAGGTAAAAAAGCCGAATTTTCACAGCAAAAACACTGTAAAAGTTACCTTCACAGTGTTTTGCTGTGAAGTTTCAAGTGTAAAAATCGTGTCTGACGAAAACAACCTTGTCTCATATGATCTCAACTCACTTAAAACGTTTGAAGTCAGAACATAATGATAGAGTTTGAGGCATTGAAATCAATATGGAAGTGTAAAAGATACCTGATATAGCTTCTTTTGTTAGGAATGAATGTAAAGACGATATCAGATGGATTCAAGATGACAAATTTCAGTCTCAAACACGTTTTTGACAGAAGATTACAACTTAGATTCAAAATAGTTGACTTTTTTACGAAGTCAATTTTATTGCGTAACACTCAAATTTAATGGTTTTACTGTAACATCAGAAGTTGAAATAGTTAAGAAAGATACACAAAGGAGCAAGTATGATTTTTTTTAATATATTATTTTTATCATCAAAAATAACATTGAGTTCAAAATTTCATATAAAATTGTTTTTCTGAGTATTTCTAGACGCAAAATCAATCAATAATTACTTCTAAATTAACATTACCTTTCATATCACTTTTACATAATATCGTAAATTCGTTCCACTACCAATACATTCTATGATATATCTTTAGTGTATAAATTAACATCATTTGG